CAGTGGTTGTTGTTGTTGTTTGCGATCCGGCCTCTGGTTCATGACAGTAGAATCTGGCCATTATGGATCCAACACCAACCCGAGAGTGGTGCTCTAAGGTAGAAGGGGCTGTTAGTAAACTTGAGAAAGGGCTTCAGGAAATGGTTGTTTCTCTTCAAGCTTTGTCCCAACAGTCAAACCAAGTCATCAACCAAACCCTGTTGACTCCTGCACCAAGAGAACCACGGTTAGCCCCCCCTGAACATTTCAGAGGTGAGCCTGAGCAATGTCGACCATTTTTGACTCAGTGTGACATTCAATTTCAATTGCAACCTTCATGTTTTCCCACTGAGCATGCTAAAGTAGCTTATGCTGTCTCACTTCTCGCTGGAAGAGCCAAGACGTGGGGCACTTCTGAATGGTTAAAAGGTGGCGTGGTATGTCGTAATTTTTCTGAATTTTCCAAAGAGTTGTGTCGGGTTTTTGACCCCCATCCTCCCTGAGAGAGAGGCAGCCCGAAGAATTTTTGATATTAAACAAGGCAAGGATTCTGTAACCAAATACATCATTCACTTTCACTCTGTTTCAGCAGACAGTCATTGGGATGAACACGCACTCACTGACGCCTTCTTCAGGGGGCTTAATGAAGATGTTAAGGATGTGCTGGCAACAATGGACTATCCCTCATCCCTACGCCAGCTGGAGGAGGTGGCCACCCGTGTTGACCTTCGCCTGCGTGAGCGTGAGCGTGACCGTGAACAGAGTCGAGGCAAGGCCACAGCCATGTCCAGAACCAGACATCACCTTGTGGATCATGAACCTAAAACGGAACAAACCAAGAGCCCTCAGGATCCTCTGTATGCTACGGAACCCATGCAACTAGGAAGAAGTCGTCTGACCACCCAGGAACGAGAACGTCGGAGGAGGTACCATCTCTGTTTTTATTGTGGTCAAGGCGGTCATGATTGTCATCATTGTCCAGTAAAAGACCAGGCTGCAGGAGAAGAGAGGCTCCTGTTGAGTCTTAGTCATAAGATCAAGTCCTCTCCACCTATCATGTCCAAGTCCAAGGTCAAGTTCATAATAAAGGGTGGTCAACCCGTCATCGTCTCAGCTTTTATTGATTCAGGGGCCGACACGGAATTCATTGATAAAACCTTTGCCAAATCCATAGATCTGACCATTGTTCCATCACCTAACAACCATAAGGTCCTCGCTTTAGATGGTCATCCTTTAAGTCAATCTAGTCTTGAAACTGTTCCAGTCACCATGGTGTCGGCCAACAACCATTCGGAACTGATCAGATTCATTGTTATTGATTCACCCCAACTCCCAGTGGTTTTAGGTTCCACTTGGTTACGCAAACACAACCCCCAAATCGATTGGAGGAACCAAGAGATTGTAGGATGGGCTAATGAGTGTTATTCTACATGTATTCAGAGCCAACCCAGTTCACCAGCCCTTGTCACAGCCAATGAGGAGACCTATCCTAATCTAAGTCAGGTACCTAAAGAGTACCATGATTTGAAAGAGGTCTTTAATAAATCAAAAGCTACGTCCCTTCCGCCACATCGTCCATACGATTGTGGTATTGACCTGATCCCAGGTTCTACCCCCCCTCGGGGTAGATTATATTCTTTGTCTGGTCCCGAGCAAGAGTCCATGAGGAAATATATAACAGAGTCCCTCCAAGCTGGTATCATTAGACCTTCAGCATCCCCCGCTGGTGCAGGTTTTTTCTTTGTAGGGAAGAAAGATGGGTCACTTCGTCCATGCATTGACTATAGAGAACTTAACAAAATAACCATAAAGAACAAGTATCCTCTGCCCCTCATGAACTCTGCTTTTGATATAATCCAAAATGCTAAGATATTCACCAAACTGGATCTTCGCAACGCTTACCATTTGGTCAGGATACGGCGGGGAGATGAATGGAAGACGGCTTTTAATACCGCAGATGGCCATTATGAATATCTTGTTATGCCATTCGGCCTCACCAACGCTCCTGCCGTTTTCCAAGCCCTGGTTAATGATGTCCTTCGTGACATGATTAACATTTACGCTTTTGTTTACCTTGATGACATACTTATCTTTTCACAAGATAGCATTTCTCACCGTCGCCATGTCAGAGCTGTCTTAACCCGCCTTTTACAGAACAACTTGTTTGTCAAGGCAGAGAAGTGTGCTTTCCACCAAGTGTCCACCTCATTCCTTGGGTTCAACATTTCTCCAGGTCAAGTATCCATGGAACCCGGGAAGGTATCAGCGGTGGTGGATTGGCCCAAGCCCAAGGATCGTAAACAGCTGCAAAGGTTTCTCGGTTTTGCAAATTTTTATAGGAGGTTCATTAAGAACTACAGTTCAGTTGCAGCTCCTCTTCATTTTCTCACCTCATCTAAGACCAAGTTCATCTGGGACTCCGTTGCCAACCAATCATTCCAGAAGCTCAAAACATTGTTTTCCTCTGCTCCAATCTTGCACTCTCCAGACCCCGAGAAACAATTCATTGTGGAGGTCGATGCATCCAGCACCGGGGTGGGCGCCATCCTCAGTCAGCGCAGCACAGATGGTAAGATCCACCCCTGTGCTTACTTCTCCAGGGCACTCTCCCCCACTGAGAGAAACTACGACGTGGGAGACCGTGAGCTTTTGGCAGTCAAGATGGCCCTGGAGGAATGGAGGCACTGGCTGGAAGGTGCGAAGAAGTCCTTTTTGGTATGGACCGACCATAAAAACCTGGAGTACCTTCGCACAGCAAAGAGACTCAATCCCCGTCAGGCCAGGTGGGCTATGTTTTTCTCTCGGTTCAGTTTCACCCTCTCTTACAGACCCGGGCCCAAGAATGCCAAGCCGGATGCCCTGTCCCGGGTCTTTGAGGTCAAGGAAGGGCCCTCAGAAGAGGTCGAGTTCATCCTGCCTGAGACCGTACGTCTTTCTTTGACTCAATTAGAACTCGATCTCCAACAAGTCCAACTCTCCGAGCCACGTCCACCCACCTGTCCTAGGGGGCGCCTGTTTGTCCCCAATCAAAAGGTAAAAGAGGTTCTTGAATTATGCCATTCATCAAAGTTGTTCTGTCACCCAGGAATCACCAAGACCCTCCAACTCATTTGCGCCCGATTCTGGTGGGCTACGCTTACGGAGGACACCAAGCACTTTGTCAAGTCATGTCCCGAATGCAATCGTGCCAAGTCTTCCAATCGCCCACCTGCCGGGCTGCTACGACCACTGCCAATTCCTTCACGCCCATGGTCACATATTGCTATGGACTTTGTGACTGGATTACCCCCTTCTGAAGGTAATTCAGTGTTATTGACCATTGTGGACCGTTTTTCTAAAATGGTTCATCTGGTTCCTCTCCCCAAGTTACCTTCTTCCAAGGAGCTCAGCGTTATCATGGCCAAGGAGGTTTTCAGGCTCCATGGGCTCCCCCAGAACATTGTGTCTGACCGAGGTCCCCAATTCATTTCCAAGTTCTGGAGGGAGTTTTGCAACCTGCTAGGGATCTCGGTCAGCCTCTCGTCAGGTTTTCATCCCCAAACGGATGGACAATCTGAGCGTACCAACCAGGAGGTGGAGACCAAGCTTCGGCTCCTCTGCGAGGGGGACCCGAGGAAATGGACGTCCAACCTCCCTTGGATTGAACAAGCAATCAACTCTCTTCCATCCTCTACATCAGGTATTTCACCCTTTCATGTTGTCTTTGGATTCCAACCCCCTGTTTTTTCAGTCCAGGGGAGAGAAGCTCGGGTTCCCTCTGCACGACTCGCAATTTTATGTTGCCAGCGAGTCTGGAGAAAAGCCAGGAGAGCCCTAATTTTGGCCACCAAAAGGTACGTTCGGGGGGCTAACCGCAGGAGAACGCCTCAACCATTGTACAAGGTGGGCCAGAAAGCGTGGCTCTCCACCAAGGACCTTCCTCTCCGTGTGGAATCTAAGAAACTAGCACCACGTTTCATTGGTCCTTTTCTGATTACCAAAATAATCAATCCTGTCTCTGTTCGCTTACAGTTACCCAGGTCCATGCGCATTCATCCAACGTTTCATGTCTCAAGACTCAAGCCATTTGTCCTGCCACGTTTTCGACCCACCACCGACCTCCCACCACCCGCCCGACTCATTCAGGGGAGCCCAGCCTACACGGTCCGACGCCTTCTTCGATCCAGAAGGTGGGGGAGAGGACTCCAGTATCTGGTAGACTGGCAGGGGTACGGCCTGGAGGAACGTTCCTGGGTGCCCTCACGCAATATTCTGGACAAAACCCTCATTAGAGACTTTCATCGACTGAACCCTCTCCAGCCTGGTGGTCCTTCAGGAGCCGGACCTTGAGGGGGGGGGTTCTGTCATAGCTCTGCTCTCTGTCAGCTCCTCTGTCATGCTGCACACTCAGTAATCACTCAACTCATGTCACCTGTCACCGCTCATTATCCCACAGCTCCACCATCTGGCCCAGACTGAGAGGAATGAGTGAGCTTAAGTACTGACTGGACCAGGTGGTGGAGCTGTGGGATAATGAGCGGTGACAGGTGACATGAGTTGAGTGATTACTGAGTGTGCAGCATGACAGAGGAGCTGACAGAGAGCAGAGCTATGACAACACCTTTATATAATAAAATAAAAAACAAAGTCCTTCCTTTTACTATTTATACAATGTATAAATGTATTTAGTGCATGCGTTATTGTTGTTAAGAATGTTAATTTGACCTTCCCCATTTCTTCTTTTAAAGATCGTGCTCGAGTAGCAGGAGGTCTGCCCGATGTGGTGACGATACAGGAGGGCAAGGTGAACAATTATGTTAACGAGAAAGATTATGTGCTTCCACCTTCTGTGTTTACATTAATTAATGTTAGAATAAATGCTCTTCATTGCATTCCCCAGGCTCTCAATCTTACCTGCAACATTTCGGGTAACCCGATGCCAGAGGTCACCTGGCTGAAGAACGACAGGGAAATCACGTCCGACGATCACTGCATCCTGAAGTTTGAGTCGGGCAAGTTCGCCAGCTTCACCATCACGGCCATAAACACGTCGGACTCTGGCAAGTACAGCATCCTGGTGAAGAACAAGTACGGCACAGAGAGCGGAGACTTCACCGTAAGTGTGTTCATCCCCGAAGAGGCAGGCGGCAAGAAAAAATAAGAGCGGTCCAAGTCTTATCGCAAATATCTGTAAATGGCACATACTGGACACGAGCTGAGAATGTGTTCGACGTGTTGTGTGGAGTCGAAAAGAAACTAAAGAGGTGTTGAAACTGAACATAGTCCTGTTCTGAAATAAATTAATAACGTGCATTCATTTCATCCAATACTTACACGTTGAATTAACATAAAAAAGGTCATCTGAACAAACTCCAAAACATAGCTGGTGCAATTTTTGTTTGTGCATGTAGAAGAAAGTGTTGGTTTTGGAGGATTAAATAAGAAAATACTTTGCAAAGAAAAAGCCAAAGATGACTCTTAAAATGTTGTGTGTTCAGATCCAATGCTAAGCTGCAGAATAAGTTTGGGTAGAATGTTAGAAATATGAATGTTTTTACATTTGCTACATATTTATGGACTTCACTGCTATTTTCAATTATTAGTAACCTCTTCTGATGATTTTAGACTGTCTAAGACTCTCTGGACTCTTTCTCTCTCGAGCCTAAGACAGGTAAAGTTGGGTCTTAAATGTTGAAATTGAATTTGGAGCACTGAAGGATTAAGGTGTCTACATTATGATTCAATCTTCAACTACATCAAAACGGTAACATTTGCTGCTCTGGAAAAAGTAAAAATAACTCATATGAGATAAGTTGTCACTGGAGGAACAGCTGCCATGTAATAAAAACACGCAGAAACTCTAAAACTTGTAAAATAAAAGAATAACTGTCAGTTTTACATGAACTTGTGAAAAACTGGAGCTAAACTGAGTTCTTCAGTGCACAACCTGCTGTTCTGATGATTATTCTCACTAATGCTGATGGCTTTCATACAACAGATCCTGTTGAACATCCAGCTGTTTACTGCTGGAGTGCTTTGGAAGCAAATAAATTAGTAGCAAATGTATTGAAACATCTGTATTTCATCAGGTTATATGTCTGAGGTTGTTTTATTGTTTTCACTGTCACTTTAATTGTGATCATGACATTACTTTGTCTCACTCAGTAAAACTCTGCACATTACTTTTGATGTTTTTCACCGTTGCCATGGCAACTCCTTCACCACCCATCATTACGTTCTGTTTTGTGAAACTGATGCCACTTTAGTGGAGTCTGTGAGTCACTGTAAGAACCAGTTTGCTGTTTCACTTCCTGTTTTCCTGATGAGACTAATAAAATTCAGCATGTACTTCCCCATTTCCTTGTCCCTCTTCTTCCTTATGAGTTGTCTCGTTTTGGTTGCAGTCCTCCACCTTTCACCTCTCACAATCCACTCTTTCATTTTAGTCATTTTCCTCTCCTGGTTCCAATGTGTGCAGAGATGGACAGATTGAGGATCTTTAGAGGCAGCATGAAAACAAACCACATCCACTCCACTGTAATCCTAATTCACAGCTGGTGAGCTTGAATGATGATGCTACAATGTTCACCCCAGAAGAACTAGCAGAGCAACAAAATCAAGCTCGCAAGAACTAAACTCAGAAAGCACTAACATTTCCAGAGAATACAAATTAAACATGTCCACAAGGCACACAAGCACCACTTTTATCAGTACCTTTTATTATTGGTTTATGTCATTTGAGTGAAAAAATAGGACATGATGTTTGATTTGTTGGGTATTTAGGTGGATCCACAATGTTCAGTGCATTTTTAATTAGTTTGTATATATATATATATATATAATGGACGTAGCCACCAACTCTAATTCTTTGAGGAAGTTCCTGAAAATTAAAAAAACACTAATGTTACAAACAGCTCCAGCAAATATTGATTCAAAGGCTGTTAATGCTTCAGACAAATACTATGCCAGAACAGTAGGTGGTGATATCGACAATATTAACAGAATATTAAAATAATAAAAGGAAGAAAGATTTTGACTGTAGCTAGTGGCTCCTAAAACAAAAGTAGTCTTTTGTTATTTTTCCTTTGTAAATTATTTTCTCTCAGCAATTAATCCTTTGAGTGCATGATCTAAATGTAAAGTTGTTAAAGAAAATAATGTTTTCATCAGCTATTTTTCACTTTAAGACATTCAAACTGCATTTGCTTGAAGTGCAATACAGCCTTTGGTTATTATTGTAAATTACTTTGCATCATATCAAGGGAGTGGTGGCGCAGAGGTTAGAGAGGGCAAGCATGTGATCAGATCAGGTTGCTGGCTCAACTCCCCATACAGATAACATCAGAATGTGGGTGGAAGAGGTAAAGCACTACCTCCACCCTCATTTGCCCCATTCTGGGCTCTGAGCAAGGCCCTTAACCCCCACCATCTGCTCCACCGGGCACCCTAGATAGCAGCTCTCTGCTCCACTCGGAGGGCTGTGGTAGCTCGGTGGTCTGTGGTTGCGCCAGGAAAGGCATCCGGCGTAAAAACAATTAACAATTCTTTGTGCGAGTTACTTGACTGTGGCGACCCTTGAAGAAGAGAGCAGGTGAAAGAAAAAAAAAACAACAAAAAAAACTTTTGCATTAATGCCTAACATGCTCATCAACATGCCTCACACGTGAAAGTATTCCAGCAGGCCGTAGATCGGCATGGTCTTCGGTGTAAATAAACATCTACTGCAGAAGTGACAGGTTTATGAAACAGTGATTGTAGCTGGACCCCCTCATGAAAACTTTGATTCTTAAATCTGAGTTTGGGTTGACTATCTGCTGCAGGTAAGATATTGACTGGTGACAAATTCACAAAACTCCACTTTCCAAGTTTTTAGAATGTGATTGTTGAACAACTAAAGTTTATCAATTTGAAAAGTAAAATGAGTTCACAGCTCTAAAATTAATTGAGTTATAGTAGGAAAATAGAGCGAAAATAGGCGCTTCAATAATATTATACACCTTAAAATATTACAAAGTATAAATATTAGGGTGCAGTGATTGCCGGACATGGGCACCGACGACCCCCCCATGACCCCAAATGGAAGAAGCAGGTAAAAGATAATGGATGGATTACATTAGCATTTGTCTGCACCATTATTGAACCACAGTTACTTCATCCTATTACAGCTATTTAAATTTCCAATTGTTCTTGACTGTCAATAGATGCAAGAGGCATTTTGGTTTCAAATTATTTTAGGTCTAAATTTCAGCTGGTCAAATACTTCTGCTGAGGCAATCTTATTATGCAGTGACATTATGCATTTCAATGCATAATTGTTTTGTATTTCTTAGTATTTTGTTTAATTCATGTATCAAAATGTTCAGCTCATGTACAACTTTAGCTTTTTGAAATATTTATAGCTTTTTCCTGCCATTGTTTTCTTTGGAAGAAAAATCACTTCACATGCTTCAAATCCTTTGATCTGTTTACAACCTTTTATTGCTCCTTTCACATTTTTTTATGGTTCTGCTATTTTCAACTTCTTTGTACTAATTTTAGCTTTCTTCAGCTACTCTCTGCTAATTGTAGCTATTTTTGTCAGCTATTTTTGTGCTCCTTTCAGCTTATTTTTGCTAACTTCAGCATTTTATGCCCCTTTCAGCCTCTTTCTGCTCATTTCAGCTTTTTCTGCCTTTCAGATACTTTTAGCTGTTTTAATGGTAATTTTAGCATTTTCCGCTAATCCCACATTTTTGCACTCATTTAAATTTTTTCAGCCTAATTCAGCAAACGTGTTCTTTCCACTTCCTTCTGCTTGTTAAAGCTTTTTTCTGCCTTTCAGTTACTTTTCATATAAATTTGGCTAATTTCAGCTTTTTTCAGCTAATTTCACGTTTTTTGTGGTCATCTCTGCTTCTTTCAGTCTAAGTCAGCAAACATGCTCTTTCTGCTTTCTTCTGTTAATTTAAACTTGCTCTGCCTTTTCAGCTACATTTCAGCTTGTTTTTACTTAAGCTCATTTCAGTTGTTTTCAGATCATTTCGCTTTTTTATGTGGTCATTTCAGATTTTTCTATGGTTGAGAGTGTAGGAGCTAAGTACTAAATAGAAAAATCTGAAATGACCACACACAAAAACCCGGTAAAATTAGCTGAAAACAACTACTTTTCAACTTATTGTAATTTGTTTTCTCTCAGCTCGAAATCACAGAGGGAACACCTGACTTGGGAGTGACTTCTTACTGGACCGATGCAGAAGGAAATGTAGTTTTTGGTCCAAGCACACCAAAAGAAAAAATGAAAACCACCGTCACTGGGACAAAAACACAAAAACAAAAGGGTGAGAAGACATATTGAATGTGTTTATGTCACTTTTAAAATGTTTCATAAGTCATTAAGAAATGTTTTCATGCAGAAACTGCTGCTGCAGCTTCTACTAAAAAGGTGGAAGACAAAAAGCGGAGCATTAAAGGAGAACTAAAAGAGAAAATAACTACAGAAGATGTTACTGCAGAGCCCAAAGTTTCAGATCCAGAATCACCAGAAGATGAAAAAGAAGATTTGGGCAACCAGCTACAGACTCAAGACAACTCAGACGCCCATAAATAACTTGAGACAGCAGAAGAACCTAAAACAGAGATTAAAACACAGCCTAAACTCATCAAATAAATACTAAAGAAAAACCTAATATCCCATGGTTGATGTAAGCTTAACAGAAAAGAAACCACATTTTTTGTTCTGTAATGTATCATCAACAATAGCAGAATTAAAAACAGCCTACACTATATTCAAATAAATACTTCTGACAGGATAAGATTTGTATTTTAATAAACAAGTATCTAGATTTGAACTTGTGTGCGTGTATTTTTATTTCTTTTTGTATTTTTGACTAAGGCTATTTTATTTATTTTTTTGGTCTGTTTTGTGTCAAAGTTGAAAATTGGACGACTGTTGCTGGCTTAACACAGTACAGTACATTCCTATCACAATGAAGGGAAGAACACAGGAAGCTCTACAAATTATTGGATTGAAACAGGTCAGAAATCAGCAAGTGAATAAGTTGTAAAAGACGATAGTTTGTCTACTTGATTTTACACATTTTTTTATGTCAGGCAAATCATTTTGTCTGAGTTAGAGTGAATGAAAACTTAACCTTGCCATATGTTATATATCCATCCATCCATCCATCCATCCATACATCCATCCATCCATCCATCCATACATACATACATACATATGTACATACATACATACAAGTACATCCATCCATCCATCCATACATCCATCCATACATCCATCCATCCATCCATCCATCCATCCATACATACATACATACATACATACATACATACATACATACATACATGCATGCATGCATGCATGCATACATACATACATACATACATACATTCATCATCTTCCTCTTCCAGATTCAGGTCAATGGGGCAGCAATTTAAGCAGGGAGGCCCATACATCTCATTCCACAGCCACCTCTTCTAGCTTTTCTGGCAGAACCCCAAGGAGTTCCCAGGACAGCTTGTAGTCTCTCCAGCGTGTCCTGGGTTTTCCCCAGGGCCTCCTCCCAGTCAGACATGTCAGGAGCACCTTGGAAGGTGCCGTCTTACCAGATGCCCAAACCACCTCAACTGGCTCCTCTGGATGTGCAGGGCAGCAGCTCTACTCCAAGTCTATCTGGGAAAACTGAACTTCTCACCCTACCTCCAAGAGAGATTTTCCTGCAGAGTAACTTATTTTGACTGCTTGTATGCCTGATCTTGTTCTTTCAGCGACTATAAAAGGTTGGGAACATAGGTGAGGGTATGTATAAATAAAGGTTGAATGAATGAATATGTAGACCAGAGAATTTTGTCTTGCAGCTCAGCTTCCCCTTCACCACAATGGGCCAACACAGAGCCAGCAATAATGCAGAAGCTGCACAGATCCATTTATCAATCTCCTCCTTTGTTCTTCCTCATGAACAAAACCCTAAGATACTTGAACTCCTTCACTTGAGGCAGAACCCCACTCCTAACCTGTAGAGGGCAACCCACCATTTTACTATTGAGAATCATGACTACAGATTTGGAGATGTTGATTATCTCAGCCGTTTTACACACTTGGCTGTGAAATGCTCCAGTGAGAGCTGAAGATCATAGCACGATGATGCTATCAGGAGCGCATCATACAAATAGCAGATACAGAATCCTGAGGTCACCAATCCAGACTACCTCTGTCCCTTGGCTGCACCAAGAAATTCTATCCATGTAACCCAATATTTCTCAGTCAGGTCATCTGGACAGTTTCTTTTTTATAGAGACGTTTCACCCTCTATCCGGAGGGCTTCATCAGTCTGAGGAGTTCCTATAAACTGTTTCCCCACCAAGCAGCGCTATCCATGTAAGTTACGAACAGAATCTATGATAACGGGTAGCTCTGGATGAACCCAACTTCCGCCTTGGTGGGGTCCGACTTACTGTTGGCAATGTGAACAAAACTCTTGCACCTCTGACTGACTGATCTATTGCAACAGGCCCACAATCCCATACTTGCAGAGCACCCCCAACTGTGTACCTCAAGGAACACGATTAAATGCCTTCTAGTCCACAAAATATACGTAGACTGGATGGACAAACTCCAATGACCCCTCAAGGACAATAGTGAGGGTAAAGAGCTGGGCCAGTGTTCCATGGCCAGGGCAGAACCTGCATTGTCCTTCCTGAATCTGAGATTTGAACATCGATCACTCGCTTCTCCAGTACCCCTGAATAGACCTTACCAGGGAGTTTAAGGAAAGTGATACCCCTAAAATGGGGGGACACCCTCCAGTGCCCACTTTTGAAATGAGAAAACCACCCCCCTCATTTGCCAATCCAGTGGCACTGTTCCCAATGCCCACATGATGGTGCAAAGTTGTGTTAACCAAGACAGCCCTACTATATCCAGAGCCTTGCAGATCAGTCAGGACTAGTCAAACCACGACTAGCACAGAAGTCCAACAACAGAACACTGCTTGAGTTCAGATCAGAGAGGCTGTTCCTCCCAATCACGCTCCTCCACTTTGCACTCAACTCATATGGCCTCTTCTGCAGGTGATGGACTCACAAGAAGGCAAACCCATGGTGCTCATTCAGGCTGAGCCTGACCGAGCCTCATGGGTACAGACCCACCAGGCGCTTGCAGCAAGCCCCTCACCCAGACCTGGCTCCAGGGTGGGGCCCTGATATGATATAAACTTCTTCCCTCACTGAGGACTGTAGATGTTACATATATTTTTCCTACGAGTATTACAAAAGTATGGTGCCACATTTTCTTTTGCTTTAAGCCCAAACTTTTTTATAAAAAAGTTTTCCTTACTGATCTAATGAGCAAATTCTTGAATTTTCTCCTTCACCTGCAGAGAAGCTGCTCTGTGGCTCTTTGTGACCTCTGACCTCAGACCAGAGAAGATTGAAAACTAAGTAACTTTTCAAATGTTTAATGAGGTTAAGTCAGGTCCTCTGGATGGATTCTTCTTTGTTGAAACATTTTGTCTTGAATGTTTAGTCGTTGAACATGGAGACCCCCGCCCCTGTTTAATGATGGATGGGCTCTCTTCACAGTCTTCATTAAACAGTGGCAGGGGTCTCCGTGTTCAACTGCCCCCCTCTTACAATGCTGTTATTGCATGCATCGCTCAGCCCTCTGTGAATAACAAGTGGCCATCAGGACACTAATGATCAATTGTTAAACAGCAAGTATCATTCAGCCTTCTGTGATTAGCAAGCAGTCATCAGGGCATTAATGACCAATTGTTAGGGCTCTAACAATCAATTGTTAGACTGATGTAGAACTGTCATTCCTAACGCGGGCTTGAAGCCTGACCCGACCTGACCCAAATTCGGGGCAGGCCGGGCTATGATAATGTGCTGGATGGGCTGGGTGGGTTGGTGTCGGGCTTTTGATTGCGTCAGCGGATCATCCGCAATCCAGTTGTATGACAACATGGCTTGCCATACAATCACCAGCCACACGCGGCCATTTCATCGTGAGCTGACCGGCCTTGAAAGAGGTAAAATAAAGTTCAGTTAAGCTTCAGAGACTATACTGCCAGGAAGCGATCAATCACCCAAATGGACATTCATTCAGCTGCTGCACTCAGCGGACGCGCACGGCCGACAACCCAAACAGGTGAGATCCTATGTCAGAGAGGGATTTAATGTGCTTTGATGGTCATGAAAGGACAAACACCCCCTCTGTTCCGATTTTCTGCCCCTTTTATTCAGCTGTGCGCATCCGCCGATCGTTAATAACTATATAAGCAGTCAAAGCTTAATTAAAAATGTCAGGGTGGGGGGTAGATGCTCGGAATCGGACCTGTAATTACTATTAATTTGTCGGGTTGAGTGGGGTTTGGAAATTATGGCTACGGGCTGGGGTCGGATCAGATCTTTTGGGCCCGAATGCAGCTCTAGACTGATGGTCTTCCTTTTACATGTGAATAGCTAGTTCTGGCTATCGGCAGCAAACTGGTTGATCCACTATGATAAGGTGCTATTTATAAGACTGAGTTTGTAGCAGCACCTCAGACTGAAGAAGCTTTTTGGATAAAATATTAAACTTTTCATCAAAGAAGAATCTGTCCAGAGGACCTGACTTAACCTTGTCAGATTTTTCTACTTGGATTTTTGAGCATGCATCGGGACACTTTGAATGTTTCTTCTTTAGAAGTTTTGGGATTTAAAAGCTTATGTATAGGTGTCATCTTGCTGTATGTATTTCTTCTGTGTTTTTGATTGAAGCAGTTCAAAACAAATAATTAGAACTGATAATAGTCTTAAGCATCCAGTCAAAGACGGAGACACTGCAACACACTTTTTTCATTCAACCTTTATTTAGACAGGTTAATCCCGTTGAGCCTCGAGGACTCATTTTCCAGAGAGACCTGATTTCAACAAAGAATGATGACAACAATAGACAGTTATAAAATGCAGACAGAATTATTTTTTTTAATACAAATAAGATGGCAAAAAAAGTAACAAAAACAGTTAGATTTACCCATGTCTTGTTCTTGTTCTAAAAACAGTTATTATTATTATAGTCTGGTTTGACTTTTCATAACCACAGTTCGGTCTCAGTTATGTAATTAAGTGACAATTAGCCATCAGCACTTTGGTTGGCCTTGTTGCTGTTTTAAGTGCTATAATGCTTGACAAGTTAAATTTTAACAGTTAAATAAAAATGATAAAATATACTTTTTAGAAGAGACTTTTTTTTAAGTGATATTGTGAGGTTTGCATAGCAGAAAACCACCGACTACCGTTTTGAAAGTGTAACAGTAATAAACAATAAACTCCATCGCTTGTCCTCTGCGTGTCTGTGACGTGCTGCCTCATTGGAGCAGGAGGGTCACGTGGTTTCCTCTACGCACCATCAGCAGCAGCAGTGCGCCAACAATGTGAAGGAGGAGGTGTACGCGTTCGGTCGGTCTGCTCCTCATCTCTTCAGCAGGTAAGAAGTTATTCTCCGTGTCTCCACAGCACGGTCTCCGAACACTTACAGGAATCAAAATCAGTCACGTTTTATGCTTCTATTGCTGTTTTATGCGCCTGCGCTGTATTTGTTTTCTGAGAAGTTATTTAATGGCTAATGTTGAGGTCGCGAGCCCAAATTGGTACTTCAAACGGACCGACAAGTTGCCATCTTGTAATAAACTTGACACTGTGTAGCTAATATTTATAAAACATACCGTTTCTCATACCTGTTAAATCATTTTAAACATTCAGTATTCCCTGCAAACACCACTGAATCATTGTTGAAATTATTTTACAGAACTTGTCCAAATAATAAATATTTCGCATACTTTTGTAATTCAGAAGACGTTCACCCAGATAATAAGTTGGTAACATTAATGGAAACTTTGTTAAGATAGACCCCCCCCCCCTCCCCTCCATATTCTGGCTACCCAAGAGTTTTATTTCCCAGAAGTCATGTGACCCATACATTGAAAGCACCATAACAATTATTACTAATCGGTTTTAAAAGTCAGTTAACTAGCTACATTTTAAAAATATATTCTATAAAGCTTTTTAAATGTCATAACTTGGGGCTTTTACTTAATTTGTTAAAATGTGCATCTGTGATTTTAAGATGTTACTTAAAAAAAATAAGTAATGTGAAAATGTTGACACTAATTAGGTGGTAAATTATGCAGTACACTGCAGCTTGTTATTGCATACTAAATATGGATAATTGCATTCACTGATATTCTGTTTTGGTTCTGGTTCTGGTCTACTCTGCATCTCCAGAACCAGAACCAAACATGGAGAAAGCAGCAGCTTCTATGCACCACAAATCTGGAACATACTTCCAGAAAACTGCAAAACAGCTGAAACACTGAGTTCCTTTAAATCAAGGCTAAAACCCCAGCTGTTTAGTTTATTTTGAACTATAATAAATGAAACATTGATCAACATGTTTGATGGCACTCAACAAAATGTAATGTTTGTTACTGGTTTCTCAACTGGTATGTTGTTTTTATGACTTGATTTTGTGTTTTTTTTATGTAAAGCACTTTGAACTGCCTTGTTGCTGAAATGTGCTATACAAATAAACTTGATTGATCGATTGATTGATTGATATGCTGAGTTAAATGGGGTAGGAAAGTACGATTTGCGAGGCTATGCACCAGTTTTACGTGACCTTGAACAGAGAGGTTGTGCCATCCTCAATGAATAGGATGGATGTTGTAAACTTTAATGTTCATAAAAGTAGTATCCTAATGGGCTGTGACCATAAAGTTAAATAAGACAACCCCTCCCTCTCTCGCCCACTTCTTGCATCTGTGACGTCGTGGAGGAGCAAAGATGGCAGCCAAAGAAGGCAACAGTGCACAGCCAACAAAACAACAACTGTTTGATTAACAACAAGCCCAACTGTATCTGTCTCATAAATTATTTGTAATCTTTTTTACAATTAATTTATATAATTGATAATTAATGTTAATTTTCATTCAACAAACAGCTAAATGATATATGAGGAAAACATTGTTTATATAAGTAATGATGATCTAAACTAGATTCGAAGTCAGTCAAAAACACACAACTCAGAAATTCCATACAAAGGGGACTACGTACAAGTATTGGAATAACGTGTATTTATTAGTGTTTACCTGTTTTGTAGGCGACACGTAGAAAATGCTTGTTGTATACCTGGTGATACTTTGAAGGATGAAACTTGTCTCTGCTGATACTGGCTAATCATCTTCTTAACAGGTCAGGTTTGTGTAATGGAAACCAAAACTAGTCGAATATATAATATTATTTTACACTGTCAATATGACAAAAATTAGAGGCAATACCAGATTGTACTATTTAATAGTTGTGTTAAATTGTAGCATAATTTAGCATAGTGCTACACTATGTGTACATAATATATAACAATTTCCTGCAGGATCAGTAAAGTTCTATCTTTTCTTTTGCCCCAGAAGCTAATATTTACTAGCCAATTTAATAATTAACAATGATTACATCAACTTTATAGGCCAATTTTAATTTTAAATGGTAGCTTCAATTATGATCGGATCACATTCGCATTGAGGTAAATAAGATTTAATCTGCTTACTCGTGAAATGAGGCACACTTTCCTTTTTCTCTTTGGTTGGTACAACCGTAGCACACACAGCTTTGTGGCATTTGTGCATTATTAGAAAGCTTGTATACATTATAATATTGTAATTTTATCATTAATATTTTTGAATAAATTTGACATAATCAGCCTTTACTGTTGGCTAATTTGCCAACATCTACATCAATTCTATGTCCAGACACATTCCCCCTCTGGTTATGGCTCCAGTCCCTCCAGTAAGTCCCATCGTCACATGACCAATGCATTCTTGGGTTGTCTTATTTAACTCTATGGCTGTGACTAATTGGAGAAGAACATCTGTAACGGAGTCTGCAGAATGTCTTGTGGCACTTACTGTGGTTCTCATGTTGTTGACATGAGTCCCAGAGACAGGCTGTCCTGCCACTTGAGTTTTGAACATGTTCAAAAAAATGTGTGACAGATTTTCTCTTAAAATAGCCACAAAGTCATTTGCAGGCATCCAAAGCCCATCTGAATGTTTTCATGGGTGTCTACCCCATCTTAAAAATGCTAGAGCTGTAGTTTCACACCTGTGTAGGAGCTCGTTCCAGCTCGTTCTTCCAGTTGTGAAATATTAATGAAGAAATAAACAGTGGCAATAAGTTTTACTAGTTTTCACACAGACATTGACAACTGATCTCCAATTGACTCGGTTTTGCCATCACATGCATGTAAAGATTGTGCAGCTCATCTGGTCAAAAGCCTTTATTTCCTCCTACTTCTTTTTAAACAGGAAAGTTTTATAACTTTATCTTTTTTACAGTTTGTGGAGTCTGAATGACACTGTAAATATGACATTAATGCGTTTCATTTATTTCATGTCTGTTTTTAAACCTGTCACTGGAAACTTTCACATTTACCGGTATTTAAAAAAAACGAGTCAAATACATGATTAAATTAAATTAGTCAAGTGCTGATGTTTGAAAACAAAACCTGCAAACTCAAAGACCAAAACAACAGGGAATCACGTGGGTGGACATGCACATAGTGAAGGGGAGGAACGTGCAGCGAAAGAGAAAGCTGGATTTGTTGTAATCTTGTAAACAGGATTAACACATCTTAAAGGTTAGTAATGTCACCCCACTGAGAGAGCATGGTGTAGGTAGAACTGGTGCTGGTCTTGCTGACAAAGTACAGCACAGGCTATTCTGTGATGCAATCTAAATATGATTCAGGAAACAACCTTTTAACTATAGGGTGCATTGTAGGAAATGTGAGACAAGTTCTTGGTCCCATTTATTTATTTTTTGTTTACATGCTTCCTCTTGGTCAAACTATTAAAACCACAGTGAACATTAACATTTTTATGCAGATGACAGTCAACTGTACATGCCTATAAAATTGATCAATACTAGTAGCCTTGCTAAATCTATAGCTTGCTTTTCTGACATTAAACCCCGCACGTCCAGAACCATTATTATTTAATATGTTAATTTTTATGCATTTATATTCAAGATTCAGTAGTGATTTTAAAATTATACTTTCTTTAAAGACTTAAACGCTCTTGCCACTACATATATTATAGATTTATTGACTGGTTTACCTTTCAGACCACTGAAATCCATAGACAGTGGCTGTATTTGAAGTGCCACACAGTGGGGTCTCCATGAAGTGTGAAGTCCACCTGAATTTATTGTACAGACAGTGGACAGTCTGCTCACTGGGGTGATCTGCCAACGTGTTATAATGATGCCAATCTGGAAACTTCTGCTTTGTTTATTAAAGGGTTAAGCTCTGAGTTCTGCAGTGTGCTGTGGTTTACAGAGGGAACCCACAGTACATTACAGGGGAACAATACACAGTGTAACACTGTTATCAGCAGTACTGTTTTACAACGTGACTTTGCCATTCAGCAACCATTGTGTCCTTATTATCACTAGATAATTGATAATTCAGAAGAATAACTGAACCTGATGCATGTTTTTGCACATACATGACTTTCAGTGGATAAATTCCTCTGACCTGTACATCTCGTGCCATCAGCAAGTTAAATGTGATGTTACTCTTACTGCAGCACAAAATCTGAGCCATTCAAGTGAATAAAATTTTAATCAATAAGATTAGAATGAGCCCCCAAGCTGTTTTTCAATGCTTACAGAGACTTCTAGAGTTCAGGATGATGGTGACCTGGGACTTGTGCGGACACCGGTTATGTGAGAGTTTTAGAGTCAGACGGGGGAAATTTTTTCACTCAAAAGTCCAAGAAAGGTCTCAGGAGCTGTGGTGTGTGACACCGAGTCCGTGGAGGCTGCCTGAGGAGGAGAACAGGAAGGGAAGGTTCATGCTAATGCTGCTGGAGTAACATGGAGCTTTCAGGGAGAACACATGTACAGCAGCACAACCAGCAACTGCATCTGAACCCCCCCTGGACTCTGGTGAGTTCAAACCCTGCTTCTGTGTATTCTGAGTGAGGGATGTTTGCCCTTCTTTACTTATGATTTCTGTCATTAGAAAATCACATTTGAATTGGCATTTTAGTTGGAAGTACTAAAGACCTGCAGAGGTTTTACTGAGCAGTAAGGTGATTAATAATGCAATGCCAGAGGTTTGTTTTAACACTTTACTGTTTGCAGTGTTAATAAGTACAGTACCTCTTAACTTTAATTTATTACAACGTGCTAGTGAGATGGAACATGTGTAGAACTTGTTCGGTCTTGATTGTCTTATCTGTGAATCAATTTATCTTCAAATTAGAACTGATAGTAATTATACATCTTTTTTAGTTTGTGTACCCATTTTGTTTCACAAGTTTATATTCAGTTCAATACTTCATTGCAGTCTTACAAATACGGAAATCCATTTGTAGTTCATTAGGTATGACACTAATATGGAAATCATGTACAGTGGTCAAAAGTAGTTTGGGT